AATTAGGCCAAGTTTTTGAAATCCACTCTGCCAATCTCTGTCTTTTAATTGGTATATTTATTTATATTGATGAATTTATTGATATGTTTTAACTTAAGTCAGTCATTTTACTTGTTTTCTGTTTGTTCTCTCTGATTTATTTTTCCCAACTTGCTGTGGGTTCCTTGAACAATTTTTAAGATCCCATTTTGAATTATCCACGGTATTTTTTAGTGTATCTCTTTGTATAGCTTTTTTAGTATTTGCTCTGGATATTACATTCTATATACATAATTTATCACAATCCACTGGTGTCAACATTTTACCAGTTTGAGTGAAGTATCAATACTTTATTTCCTTTTATGTCCCTTATTCTCCTCCATTTAAAATACATTGCCTTAAATATTTCCTATACCTACACTGAAACACATCAGACAGTTTTATCATTTTTGCTTTGAACATCAGAAATAATTTAGAAAACTCAAGAGGAGAAGGACAATGCACTGTATTTACTCATATTTTAACACTTTGTGTTGTTCTCTTTTCCTTCTTGATTTTCCAAATTTTCTTCTTCTGTCATTTTCTTTCCGTTTAAAGAACTTCCTTTAGGCATTTTTCCATGGTAGGTCTGCTGCAGTCAAATTCTCATAGTTTTCCTACGTTTGAGAACATCTTGATTTCCCCTTCATTCCTGAAGGACCTTTTCACTGCATATAGAATTCTGGGTTGACAGTTCTGTTCTCTGAGCACTTGAAAAATGTTGTGCCACTTCCTCCTGGCCTCCATGTTTTCTGAAGAGAAATTCGCTATCACTAACTTGATTTTCCCCCGTAGGTGTCATTTCTTTCTCACTGCTTTCAAGATTTTTTCTTTGCCTTTAGTTTTCAGAAGTTTGACCATGATATGTCTTGGTTTAGACTTCTTTGGGTGTCCTGTCTGGGTTTTACTCAGTTTCTTGAATCTCTTTCTTTATATCTTTTGCCAAATTTGACAAGTTTTCAACCATTATTTTTTCAAGTATTTTTTCAGTTCACCCTCTTTCTTCTATCCATCTGGAACTACGATGCCACAAATGTTAGATCTTTTTTTATATTTGCACTGGTCTCTGAGGCTTTTTTTTTCC